TTTGAATGTGGTTCAATGACTTTATTTATGCTTGATTGGATCCAATTAGACCCAACCTTGGTATCATTAGTTTATCTTGTCAAGACATTCAATTTGATTATAAATTATTGAAATTGAGTGATCTTGAATTTGAATATATAGTGTTTAATGCTAAAAAATATTTTGAGAGTCATGCCACATGATACAAATTTATTGACGGTGCGTCAACTATCATTTAATATAGTGAGCCCTATAGGCATCACTTATTCATTAAAAAAATAGAAATACCCCCCCTTAGCTCATTTCAACCATCCATGCTCCTTCATCACAGGGCATTGAATTTTCATAAGGGTTCTAAGTGATTTGCCATAAAGTGGGAAAAATTTGCTCGAGATTTAGACTAGTCTTCAAGTCCACCATACGCTGCATTTTAAGTTTTATTATAAAATTTCATTGAGTAAGTTATTATTGGTTTTATGATTTTATAAATTTAAATTTTGTTCATTTGATTTATTGTGTTTATATTTAAGTATGTTTGGTTCGAATTGAGACATCGTCAGTCTAAAATCCGACAATAGTTTGCCATCACTTATCATTATTTGGAGGTTATGGGAAAATGAAGTCCTCGTTAAATGCATAATATGGGCCCTGCTTATTTGCTAAAATGTAAGGTCGAGCTCGAGTGGAGCTCAAATGGCAAATATGAGCTCAAGTTACAATACTAACTCAAATTAAATTATCAAGGGAGCTCACGACAAAAGCCATCTAGGTGATGGATGCCTTGGAGAAGAGGTATTGTTTTAAAAGCTCATCAGAGATGGCATTTAGGTGACCAATGACCGGCTATTTAAGCGAGCTCCCGAGCACACAAGCTGATAAAAAATCGGGCACCTTTAGCAACAAGCATAAATTTGAGTTTAAACTTGAGCCTGTTAATCAATAATGCTTAAGCCAACTCTTGAGCAGGTGAGGCTCACTTACACCCCCATTATAAAACAATATATGAGTACTATTTTTTGGCAGTCTAACGTCTTCTTTCGTACAAACACATAAAAGGTGTGTATGAGAGGTTTAATTGACACCAATAAAATGACCTAAAGATGCCTTACTTTAAAAATTAAACAAGTTAGCACAACCATTATACCTCAGTCGGAGGTAGCAAAGTTGAAAAGGTGAAATTTTTTAAGAGAGAGATAGAGGGAAAGATGGAGAATGGAGTGAGTGATGGTAATGAGATGTATGGTTGCAAATGAACAGAGCCTCCACGAGCTACTGGTGACTTGACTATCTTTTATGAGTACTTGATTTTTAAATGAACAAACTTGAACACTTTGTTATTTCATTCATCTCCTACAAATAAAAAATATCATTTAAGCTCGCGAAGAACGTCTATTAATCTTGTATTGTAGTTGATTCATGAATAATTTTATTTAAAATTTTATTTTTAAGCTCAACAGACATTATTTATTTTATTTCTTCCAACAAATTGCTCTTATAAAACTCAATTAAAGCTTAATTAATGCACCATTAATGCGCCATTATGACTTATTTATTCTAATAAACGAGCTGTTTGGTAATAAGCTCAAAACGAGCTCAACAAACTCTCGATAAACGAGCTCAAACTAAGAATTAGCATCCACTCATCTAGATTCCTTCCCTGCCCCAACCAAATCTACAGAGGTTTATGAAGGTTGGGAGAGTCGGCAAAAGAAACGATAGACGAAGAGAGTCAATGATAATCGGGGGCTGTTTGGCGAATAATGGTTCATGGTTAGTAGGAAGTAGGTGTTGGTTTTCTCCCCGTGACGACAGCTAGCTTCTGGTTGGTCGAGGAGGATGGAAGATAGGCCCCTTGAGTTAATGGCTGGCGGTGAGTGTTGGGGTTTTTAGGTGGGGAAGCTATGATGGTCGCTTGTTGCTGCAGGAGGGAGATTCATTTAGGGTCTGTTTGGGGCAGCTGCAGGAGGGAGATGGCGAGCGGGGGCGTATTTCTGAGTGAGATCGCCAGCTGGTGTGCGGCATGTGGGGCCCCGGGGATGTATATTGGTTGGTTTTATTTTGATTTTTTTTTTTTTTGAAAAAATTTGCGTAAACAGAAAAATGAAATGAATTATAAAACATGCTACTTGTTAATCTAAAAAATTGAATTCTTATTTTAAGAATTGCTTAGAGGTAAAACTTCATGTCATAAGATATATCTTGTAAGGTTTGTAGAGTTGTGATAGATCCTGAAGCAATTTGTCTAATAAATATTTTTAGCTGGTACCCAAACTACCAAAACTAAGGCTTTGTTTGGTAATGCTTTGTTTTTTGTGAATGTGTTATTCTAGGCATCATAATAATTTTTTAGGCTCTTTAGTAATACATGAGAAAATAATAAGCTTTACGAAATCCCAAAAAAAATAGAAGAGTGCATCACCTTTTTTTTTTTTTTTTTAATTTATATGCTATCAAGTAGTTAGTACGTTAAATTAAATTTACATGAATTTTATGCAACATTCTTTTATTCGTTTTACTTATCTGAGTACACAATAGTTTGAAACAAACAACTGAAGTTCTTATAACACTTTAGCTAGCAATCTTAACAAGTGTTCTATCAGACATTTGTTCTCTTCTTAACACAAAGCAAACAACAATATATATATATATATATATATTAACTAACTAGATTTTTTTGATATTTACTTGCATAGAACACAATTGTTATATATTTACATATCTAATAATTAAATTTTGTTATTTACACTTATAATAACTTGTTATCATAAACTTGTACACGAATAAAAAAATAATGATTGTGATAATTTCGATATGATATTAAAAATTTGAGTGATATGCATGTTACTATAAATTTTTTAGATGTTAGGAAGTTGAACACAATAGGAATTAGTCTTATTTTTCTATTTTGATTTTCCCCTTCTATTAATCTACTACAAAAAATTACTTGATTATAATTACAGCGCGCGCGCGCACACACACATATGATACGTCATAAACAAATTTTCATTATTTGACTTGAATCTTACGCTATTTTTTTATCATAAAATATTCAAACTTAAATTAAAAATTATCCATGAATCCAATTTCAATAAATATATAGTCAAACTGATCGGCTTTACGAGACGAACCCAGTGACACTAACAATCTGAGTTAAATTAAGTCTAAATCAGGCCATTAAATCACTTTTGAAAGCTTGGGGTGGTTAATTAGAGGTTCCAATGAACTCTAAATTTCAAAAAAGTATAGACAAATCAAGGGTTTTAATGTGACGAATTTAACAAGGCCAATATCACTCAATTCTGATATTATTAATGTACGTAAATATCCATACAATGTAATAAAGAGAATTAGTTGTATGCTAGTGTGGTTTGGATTATTGTCATCTCTACAAAGGATGTCCCTCCCGAGCTATATAAATAAAGTCCCTCCCAAGCTAGAGAAAGGAGTGAAATCTTAGGGTTGTTTTGGATTTGAGGATTTGACGATCACTCTCATAGCTACCGACTGTCATTGACCGCCGCTCGCTGATTGCCATCAAACATTGTTTGTCGCTCTCTCCTAGTTGTCAATGGTTTACTTTGTGGAGTAATGACATAATTTACAACAAAGTCCTATATGAATTAATGGTTATCTTGCGGAAAAACGAAGCACTTTACAGAGCGGTACAATGTCTCAATATTGTGCAATGACGCCGATCAAAAGATGACATATTAAAGTTCCGGCGATCACTTTCAGTAGCAACTGCTCCTGACAATCATACAATGAACCCTTATGCGTACTAATATTGTACATGGAGGGATTTTATAACCATTTCCCGTTTTTGAGATAATGGTCACTGTTGGTAATCACAATCTTTAGTAGGTCATTTTGGCTGGGGTACACCCCATAATTTTTTTTTTGGGTTTTGAAGGTAAAGACTTATAATGTCTATACCTTATATTTTAATTATCTCTTTGTGTGGTGGAGTTTCGTAAAACGCTAAGACGCTAAATAACCACTATGCCGTAACGAATCTTCGGACATGCAACAACACACAAATATTATGCTATTTATTTGTTTATATAAACTCATTTAATTATATAAAAATGTATGTAATTTTTAATTAAAGTTAACAAAGTAATATTTAAATAAAAAACTCATCTAAAAATATATTTTAACAAGATTCTATCATATTCATATCTTGTAGGGGCGGACTCAAGTAGAGTCAGGGGAAGAATTTTATTTCAGGGGGGGTTAAGATTTTTATTTATATGAAAGATTCATTTAATCTTTTGCCCTTCCTAAAATATCAGTTTTGTCGACCTTGAAATATTATTATTATTATTTTTTTTGCCCACTCTTAGGAGCAATTTGTCTCCCCTAAAAAAATAGGCAGTTTCTACCACTGATTATTATCAAGTAAAGTCCACTCTCATCATAATTTAAGATTTTTATTTCAAATGTTGTATTAAAATTTACACGATTAAATATATAATATCATTAATCTTAAATATATAAACAAAGCATTTGCCATGAATCTTCACAAGTTGTTGATATAGAAAATGCCCTGAAAGGAGAAATATTTGACTACCAGAGTTTTTAAGAGAATATGTAATTGCTTAATTATTTTCAATATTATTTTATAATAATAGATGAGATATGATGTGGACTTTACTTCATATTTATCCAAATAAAAAAAATCATCTGACACAATTAAATGGCACGATACATATGAATTATGAATTAAAATTCCTGATTTATTATGACAAAATGTCATTTTACATAAAAAAATTATTAGATAATTACATGCATATCTTACTAAATATTAATATTTATAAATTAAACACTCGGGTGAATTTTTTAAACTACATAAAACCGATGTATCAATTTGTGCCACGATCTGACCATTGACAATTTGATAAGAATGAACAATATAGGTTCTTGTTTTATCATGAATTTAAAAATTTTAGTGATAATTTGAAAAATAGATGAAAAAGAGTAATTGATTTGTAAATATCTAAGTTCCGGGTGATCTACGTGTAATTGCCCCATAATTTTTCAATTTTATCGATAGCCCTAATGCTCGATTCATTTTTATTGAAAGGCAGCAGGCGAGCACAACAATGGATCCCTCGCACCAGCAACAGCAATGGATGCAAGCGCAACACCATCAGCAAACCTGGGCCGCCGGTCCGACCACATTTGCCGCCTCCGCTGCAGCCACGGCGACTACCACAGCCACCTCCTCCTACCACCAGCCCACTTCCATCGAGGAAATCCGAACCTTATGGATTGGCGATCTACAGTATTGGGTCGACGAGAGTTATCTCCACAGTTGCTTCGCCCACACCGGGGAGGTAATTCTGCTCTTTTCCTCTCTATGTCCCAATGCATTAGGGTTGTGAGCATATGGCTTTCTCCTATGTCGAAGGGGTTGCCCTGGGGTTCATCAGACGGAACGTCCTTAGATTTTATTATTTTAATCCATTGCCTTGGGAGACAAGTATATGTTTGTTTTTTTTAGAGGCCTTCAATTACTGCATTCTGCAAATAATGAGTTGATGGGGGTTTACATATTGCTAAACACCTGTTGCATCAGGGATGGAAGCTTAGTTGAAGGAGGCGTTATATATCACTCATTTTTCGAGCCTTCATCTTTGAAGAATTAAACTATATGGATGCTTATTGGTGGAATTTCTATGGAGAATGGCATTTGCTTGACTTGACGATGCAAAAGGATGCCTGACTAGAACCTAACAAGGACATTGAGATACCAAATTAGATATTTAGAATGGGCGTTGGGTAGCCTGCGTTGGGTTTGTGGGGCAAGTGAACTCTCTAGAAAGTCAATGTTGAAAGATTGGCTATACATTTTTTATAGCAGAGGCATGAAAAGATGAGATTTTCAAGACATGTAGATGCCTAAATTTAGCTTGCAACAACACAAATTTTAATTTTGCCGATTCATTTTCTTATGAAGAAGCTTTGCAGCCATAAAAAGTACCCTTCCCAATGTTTTAAGGATATCCATTGCAGGGCAAAAGTGTAAATTGGGGGGGGGGGGGGGGAGGATGGGGTTAGAATCAGCTTGGAATGGTCAAGAAGGACAATGAAGAGACCATGCTATAATGTTTCTCATGGCTAAATTAGGGTTGATATAGGGTTGAGTAGGGTTGATATAGAGTTGAGTTTGAGGGTGTTTGGCTCAACTAAAAATAAAGGAAAATTTACCTACATACCACACAATTCTTATGTTTTTACATATATAACACCTAAAGTTTGATATTTCTATTTATAACACTTTGTGTCGTTTATGTATGCATGAAAACGTGTATTTCATTTTTAAGAAGTTGGATAAAATTATTTTTTAATATGATGTTAAAGATTTGAGTATTTTGTATTTAAATAAGAAAGTTTATGTATTAAATATGTAAATAAATAATTGTGTGGCATGCATGTAAATGGCCCTAAAAAGTTATGATCCCAACTCAAATTGAAATAATAATCAGTTTGAGTTACGTAGACTCAAATCAAAATTATTCAAATATGAGTTAACTCAAAAACGATTTTGAGTCAACTTGACGTGGGTTTTATTTAATTGAATATCTAAGTATGATACAATGTATTTTACATATATTATATTATAAAAATTATATATTTTATATAAATGCTCATTTAAAGTAGTTTAGGAGTTAGTTTCGAGCATGGCAAGACAAATGCAAAGTTGACAAATTTAGTTTCAAGTCTACAGTGGTGCTTGCAATCAATTTGGAAGCTTAGCCGAGATGATTTGAAGATGAGCCAAATTTGAAAGTTTTTTGAGTAAGCTACGAGTTTCATGCTTTTTCAATAGCCCTAGTCCAAAGTGTCAATAAATATTGAAGGATGGAGTATAAAGGAGTACATTGAAATAATGATAAGTACAATGATATCACAATTTAGATCTTCAAAATGGAGCATGCACAATGGGAGAACACTAGACTTCATGCAAATTAATTGAAATCTTATTTCATAAGAGAGAATATGAGTTAGAGAAGGCAAAAAATGTGTTATTTGAGGCCTATATTTGAAGAAAGTAAAAAACAATATCTTTTGATAAAACTTTTAAGAGACAAAGGCTTTTGTTACTATAACAAAGATAAGGTACATTATCAATGATTTTAGTTGATTTTAAATTGATTATTGTTCGTGAATATTTTTAGAAAATCATGCAATATTTTAGGTGCCATAGATGTATTAAATGAAGATTTAACTTCAAAATTTAAGCTATATTGTTAGAATGTTGAATTTTCTGAGATCATGCCATTATTAGAAAATATCTTGGAGCTTTAAAGCTAAATTTTATGTAATTTTACTTTGATCATTTATTTTAGGGATGATAATATCAAACAACAAAGAAGTCATTCTTTAATAATAAAATATTATTGAATGTAGAATGGATGATTATCAATATATATTGTTGGAAAGTTATGTGATATCTTTAGTTTTTGAAGTATCTTAGATGTACTATAGAGTAGAATTATAATAAAAATGAAGTCATAAGTTATGGCTTTGCTGCTAGAATGTAAAACTACTTTATAAGTCCTATATCGTAAGAGAATATGATGGAGTTATGATAGCATTTCATAAATTGTGATTATTATCATTGATATGTTGGGTATAGAAAACTATATCTTATTTGAATGTGGAAAAATGTGAGTTTGAGGATGAATGCATGGTAAAATTAGGAATTATATTGGAGGAATGGTTTTATTTTAGAGGTATTGTCAATTGAAAGTAGTAAACACAAAAACATATACTTTGCTGACTGTCAGGGTAGAAGTGAAGAGGCGCATCAATGAGATGGGATGATAGAATCATAGAATCAATGTGAAAATATTAGGAAAATGAGTTGATGAAAGTAGTTTAGTTATAAAATGTGCAAAGCGTCTTGCACTGTATAGAGTTGGCCAATCTAATGTGACACATAACATTATATATTTGGGATGGATAATTCATAAAATCTCAAACTAGATATTTGGGACAAGCCCTGATGATGATGATGAATTTAAGTGATTTTGGCACATCCTTTTTCCTGCTTATTTTTAGTTTTCTACAAACTAATTTGTTAGTTTTAAGAAAATAGAAAATAACATTTGAACATGCATTTGCCAAGAATACTTATAATTTATAAATCAGTTGTAGCCTATGGGCCGTAAAAATAGAAAAGGAGGGAGATAAGAAAAATAAAAAATAAATTGTATTAATTAAAATTAAACTAATTTAAGGTTTTATCTGCTTCCCTCCATAAAGCCCGCGTGAACTTCAATAACCTTTCCCACTCTTTCTCACGGTTACAAGCGAAAGAACCAAGCGATAGAAGCTTCATTCGCATTCTTACATTTGCATTGTCTCATTTCTCTGTCATTCTCTTGCTCTCTAATTTCTTGAAGTGTTTCCAATTCCCTACTCTAGTCCACGCTTCTTCCACTTCGTTCATCTTCCTTGGTTTGAAACCTGTTGAGGATAAGTCACTATGTCCCTACTTTATTCGCACAATTCTATCTTCTCGTTTCATTTGCACCCCCTGTTCAAATTGCATGCAGAAAACTAAGGGAATCACATCCTCCTTCCCTATTAAAACCAAAGCCTTCTTTGCTCCATCTCGCTCATACGATTGAAGCCCCTCTGTCGCGTCCAAACTAGCGACTCTTTCCAATTGTGTAACTCCCCTGTTCACGCGAACCAAATGCTGAAAGCCTTCGCCCATAACCTTCACGTGGTTCGTCACTCGCGCAAGCCTTGCAGAACTCCTCCCGTCGCAACCCTAACCACACATAAATCCTCGCCGAACACTTCCCTGTCGCATCTATCCTCACCGACATCGCTACTCCCCGTCGTAAAAGGCCACACGCAGGCACTGCCCTTGCCGCAAGCCTTCACTGACGTCGCTCCTCTCTGTCACACCGCTACTACCTTTCCTAGCCCACGCTCAAGCTATCAAGCTCTCCTCCCTACCTTTTGCCATATCGTCAAACTCCTCAACCCTAAGCCCATTTCTCGCAATCTTCTTATTCGAACTAAAACTAGCCCTGCCTTTCAAATATTTGAGTCCCCGGGCATTATACCAGAGTCCACTTTAAAGCCTAGCCGAGCCATTTCATTGTTTACCATGCATTTTCTTTTATGTTATTAGTTATTGTGTGTTGTATACATATGTAAAAAAGAAAAGAAGAAAGTATGTGATGTATTATTATTTCTTATTGTTGTGTTATTGTCGTTGTCGTTGTCATTAAGATTGGACATCGAAAAGTAAATTTTTTGGGGAAAAAGGGGTAATTTTCAAAATATTTATTCGAGGAAGCGCAAGTATTTGTTTCATGAGGAAATTAAGTACCGTTCCGAGAAAAATACTGACTCGTTTGAAAAATATTTTTTAAAAATTGAGATTTTAAAATATCCGCTCATGGGAAAGTAAGTACCCATCCATGGGAAATTGAGTTCCGTTCAGGGAAAACAAAGTACTACTCGGGAAATGTTAGTTTGCGAGTTAACCATTTTGTGCAGTTGCATTGAAGGCCCATTGCGCCTTTTAAGATTGTAGGTTAAGTTTATAATTTTTGCTGTCCGGTCGCAGTGTCTCATGACACTGACCAACTCATCTCTTAAGATAGTTGGAAATGTTGACATTCTCCGGTGCCCCAAAACGTGAGTTGACGCTGGGAGGCTGCCGGTTTCTTGGGTGAATTTGGACTTGTAAATAAGAAATTTTTTGAAATTTTTGGGCTTGCAAAATAAAAATAAAGTGTGAATAATTTGAAATTTTAAAAATTTGAAAATTTGACTTTTTGAAATGTTGGCTCTTAGGATTTTAAAAAAATATTTAAAATCTTGGGCTTTTGAAATATAGACTCTTAGCTTAAATTTGTTTTAAAATCCGAGCTTTTAAATATTTATGCTCTTAAGGTTTTAAAAGTTTTAAATTTACGGTCTATTAAAAATATAAATTTTCAATGTTTAAAATATTAAGATTTGAATTTTAAAACTTGAGCTTATAAATTTAAAAATATTTTAAAAGATTAATCTTTTCAAACTTAAAACACCTGCAATTTGGAAATCACTTCAAAATTGAATTGTTCAGACTCAGCTCTTAAGGGGGAGTGAAACATAATTCAAATATAGTGCTTTATTAAAAAAAAGTTGAAAGTAATCACCATCTGTCACTTGATTCACAACATATGTGCTAGCGAACAGAAGAGAATTCCTTTTGAAAAGCTTAAAATCATAATTCTTTTGAAATGTTGTAAGCTCCAATTGACTTTAAATTTTATAAAAATCTAGTGGTTATTCCTTGAGTCAAATACAATACCATGAAATGTGAGACCATCCTTAAGACTTAGAAGGGTTTCACTTGAGATCTGTTGTAAAGTCCATATTAAGTTCATGACTTAAAACTCATGCAAACCCTTAAAGCTTATAAAAAAAATATTCAAATATGTGAAATTTAAATGCTCGTCATATTAAGTTCATGACTTAAAGCTCATGCAAACCCGTAAAGCTTATAAAAAAATATTCAAATATGTGAAATTTAAATGCTCGCATGTTTTCAACCAAAATATTAAATGTTTAAATATGAGGTTCGAGAATGCTGTGTGGGCTAATTGGGGCGCTTTGTCCATAGGATATGGTTGTAAGTCTCACTCCACTAGTCCGATCCTCCTCCTTACAAGGACTGGAGTCTGACCAGTTTAGTAAATTTGATTAATGTTCAAATGCTAAAAATAATAATTTACAAGCCCAAATCACCTAGTCTGATCCTACTTTTTTCAAGGATATGAGTTGTCAGGACTTATATTTTGAGAAGTTTAAACTAACTCCCCGATGATGATCGAGTCGATATAATATTTCGACCAAAGTGTGCCAAATTTTGAAATCAGGATTTTTAAAGTAATAAACCAAACATTCAAAGTAAAATCATTAAAACAAATCTCATTCACCTTTCACAGCAGTTTGTCGAGGGTGATAAACTTTTTGATTGACTTCAGCTCACATAGAGCAAATGTCATATCAAATGCACATTTATATTCACAATTAAAGTAATTGCATGCTAGTAAGGACGTGACCCGAGTCTTCTGTCCGCATGGTTTTACTGCCAAATGACACCACAAAGTAACATTTACGACCAGAGCCGTCTGATCAGGCATTTGCCGTCAATTGATACCATTATATTACGGTCACAGCTGCAACTCATATGTTCCCAATAATTTTCTACTTTTTGAGTTGTGAATCATAATGATATAATTGATTGACACAATCTTTTGTTAGCTAAAGTCGACGTAAATTTGTCCCCTTAGATAAACACCCACCCTAGATCTACAAGGATCACTTGGACGACTGATGACAAGAATTGTTGTGTCAGGTTGGGTTGATTAGCTCCTCTGACTAAGCAGATTATGGTTAACGATGACCTCAGATGACAGAACCATGAGATCTTGATCAGGTTTCGTCTTCATTCTCCCACCATCCACTTTAAGCTTCTAGCGATTAATTCTACAGTTTAAAATCTCAAGTTTGCTACTATTATATGCTGAATATGTAATTTTTAATGACTAGCCTTAATCGAAAGTGCTCTGCCGTTATCGGGATGAGTAATTAATCATAGGTCTTGCACCTATGGAAACCCAAACCCAGATCAAAAAAAATCATCGCTAAATGATGGCGAAATCTTTGAGTAGTTTCTTATCTACAATCAAATCCACCTTCTGAAAATTCGACCCTCCAAATCTCTCTCTCAATAAACAAAAAATAAAAATAAGTTGTAGAGATTTGTATTGGAGAGCGGTCATGAAACATTGGCTTTCTTTTTGAGATCAAGCTAATAATGATGCTCAGTTTGAAGCATTCTTGGGTCATTATAGACATATTTGCAGTAGTATTTCTTGTTAAAACGAGGTTTGCCATCCCATATCTCTGTATACCAAGACATGCTTGTTTGTTATAGTCAAGAAGTTTTAAATATCCATAATCTCTTCTCTAATTCAATTATAAATTTTAAAATACAAGCAAAGTTTCATGATCTTCTTTGATTTTGCTGATTTGCTCGATGCTCTGGGTTTCTTTTTCAATTTTTTAACTTTTTCATTTTTTTTCTGAATTATTAATTTTTTCTATAATTTGAAATTCTTTTGGTGCCTTAGTAACTGCCTAACAGCAAATTCAAATTAGCCTGTTCTTCCAACGTTTTCATTTCTGCTTAATGTAAAAACTTTACTTTGTAGCAGGTTCTGTCTATTAAGGTCATCCGCAACAAGATAACTGGACTTCCAGAAGGTTATGGGTTTGTAGAGTTCGTCTCTCATGCAGCTGCTGAGCGAATATTGCAGACATACAATGGTTTGCAGATGCCAGGAACAGAGCAGTCCTTTAGGCTTAATTGGGCTTCTTTCGGTATTGGAGATAAAAGGGGAGAAGGGCCTGACCATTCCATTTTTGTTGGTGATTTAGCTCCAGATGTCACTGATTACTTGCTGCAAGAAACGTTCCGTACTCAGTATCCATCAGTTAGAGGCGCCAAAGTGGTAACAGATCCTAATACTGGTCGTTCAAAAGGTTATGGTTTTGTTAAATTTGCTGATGAGACAGAAAGGAATCGAGCAATGACTGAAATGAATGGAGTTTATTGCTCAACCAGGCCAATGCGCATAAGTGCAGCCACACCAAAGAAGACTACTGGGATTCAACCAACATATACAACTGTCAAAGGTATAATGTCGGGTCATTCAGCTCTGAATATTATTGTTATGGGGCATTTACATATATACCCCCAAATTTTAATGTATTTACCTATCTCACACCTAAACTTTTTTATTTATACACGAGCACTCAAATCTTTAACATCACATAAAAAATAGCATTATTATTATTATCACTTTTTAAAAGCACTTTTTAAAAGTTAAATACATCTTTTCATGCATATTTTTAAAACACCAGTTCTATGTATGTAAATATAAAAGTTTTGATGGGTGATATGTAAATACATATGAATTTTGTGCTATGTATGTAAATTTACCTTGGGTTATTATGCAAATTTAAAACAATGCTTTTTGCTTTTGTAGCTGCTTATCCAACGCCGGCTTATGTTGCACCACAGTTACCCCCAGTTTTGCCAGACAGTGATATCACAAATACAACTGTATATTTTTTATTCTGTAACTGAGCCATCAGCACCTTGTTCTTACCTTGTTTTTCCTGCAGATATTTGTTGGTGGATTGGATCCTAATGTTGCTGAAGAAGAACTGAGACAGATATTTGCACAATTTGGCGAGCTTGCTTATGTTAAGATACCAGCAGGAAAAGGGTGTGGCTTTGTACAATTTGCTGCAAGGTATGTTGAGAAATTGGTATTTCTTTCACTTTTGTTTGCTTGTTATTAGCCCATGAATTGTACCATTTTACAGATCTAAAGCCTTGGTTTTTGATAATTTGCTTTTTTTTGCTTTGCGTTATCTTTTGCAGTGAGGCTGAAAGTATACATACTGTTATAATACTATTTTTATTTTACTCGACAGGGCTTCTGCTGAAGAAGCTATTCAGAGGGTGCATGGCACTATGATTGGTCAACAAATTGTTAGACTCTCGTGGGGTAGAAGCCCAACAAGTAAGCAGGTATATGATGCCATATTCTGCAATGCTTTGTTGTTTCCTCCCTCCCTCACTCCCTCCCTCCCTCCCACTCACTCACACACATGCGCGTGCATGTTTGCGCACCTTGCATGCTTGTTCAAACACGCACGCCAGTATGCAGGTCCATGGATGCACACAATATTGATTTTGTAGAATATATTGATTGTGAGTTGATTGCAGTTGATGTTAGCTTAGTAAAATTTAAATGCTAGCCATGTGTTTTTTGGTGAGTTGGCATTGACACGGGAGTGCTCTTCACGCTGGAGTCCCGTGAACAAAGCAGCGACTCAACTGCTTCACCTAGACCGAATCGGTCCAAGTTTTGGCCCTTTTGAGAAGTTGGCAGATTCTCTTCGGTCACTTCTAGTTATCTTATTATTATATATTTGCTTTCGTAGGAGAATATAATAGTTTTTGGTGTATTTTTTTATGCTAGGACAGCTGTCGGTGTCTCTGGTTCTCCCTTTTAGGGCTATATCCAATGTCGGGTGGTGCTCCGGCTGTAGTTCATTTGTGGTGGTTATTATCTTCAATTCTCCTCACTCTTTGCATCCATCCCTTCGTTGTTGCAGCCCCCTTGCCTTGTTACAATCAACCAGGACAGCCACAGTTGCTGCCTTTCTTGCAGCCCCCTCTTCCCAAGGCCTCCACGTCCTCTCCTTGTTGAAGGAACCACCAGACAATGCTCCTTGTTATCCTCCTGCCCCTACAACTCTTCCTGCCAGCCTTTCTCCCTCCCCCAGCCAGTCACAGACGCCAAATAGTTACCTTTTTCTCAAGGCCGCTGTCCCCTCTCCTCGCTGCAGGAACCACTGGAAAACCCTCTTTGCTGTCTTCCTTCCCTACCACCACTCCAGCCAGTCACCAAAAACCAAATTGTCCCCCTCTTCCCAAGTTTGCTGTTCCCTAGCTGAAAGAACCACCGGGCAATCCTCATTGCTGTCGTCCTGCCCCTACCACCCTTTCAGCTAGGCCTTCAACCAGCACCCAGCTGGCAAATACTCCCCTTTATGCTGCTTCTATTGTCCTTGCGGGCCAACACCTTCCCACCAGCCGAACCCACCTCTTTCCCCTGCAGTCCAGCCACCCCACCTCAGCCCCTTCTTCCCACCTACAAACCTCCACCACCTCACATATTCCCAACCTGCTGCTGACCACCTACCTCCTATACATCATGCATAACCACCCACCTTCCCCTCTGGGATACACATGTAGTTGAGTTAAGTTTTGTGTCTAGTATTGTTATTTCTCTTTCCGTGTGTTGGTTGTAAATGCTGATTGTCTTTTTCAGGAATAATATTTATTTTCTATTGTTGTTTGGGTTAACTTCGATATTAGGCTCGATGCAGGATAGTTCAGAGTTCGGGTTTTTTAAACTAATATGATGTTTAATATAAGTTATTGCAAAGAAATTGAGGATTCAGAAATCACAAGCCACTAAATACTTTGACCCCTTCTTTTTTTCAATGCAAACAAGCAATGCTACAATTAGAACCTAATTGATGAGAAATTATGCAAGAATTTAGAATCACATTAAATCATTGAACATTTTTTATTTAATTTTGACAAACTGAATTTCTCGTGTGCCAAATTTAAGCAAATCAAGATCAATAATTGAATTTCTTAATCATGATCATTAATATAATACATTGTATAAATATATGCAAAGGAAATTGAGATTTTACATGTCACAAACCAACTAAGTAATTCAATCCCTTGTTCTCTTTTAATGTAAACGTAAAATGTTCGAATTAAAATTCAATAGATAATGAAATAATTGAGGTAGAGGTAAATTTTGAAATTAAACAAGAATTTTGTATCACATTATTAAATCAATGAACAATTGTAATTTAATTTCTACAAATTGAATTTCTTTTGTGCCAAGTTTGAGCAAAATCAAAATTTCTAATTAAGCTAATATAAAATTATATAGTTGAAAGCGCCTAACTATGAAAAACCAGGCCTCATGTATGTGAAAGTGGTTCTCTTGAATTAAGGTCAAGGAACCATTGATAGTTAGTCTCTTTTGTAGACATACGGTGCAGCAATTCATCCACATTTTTCCGAAATTTATTTTCTATTCTTCTAATTGATCTTGATGAGCACAGGCATTGGTGTTAGTTCAAACACCTTCAAAACTATTCAACTAGGAGTACAAATGAGTTTTTTTTATCTTTTTGTTTTGGTATTATTTTTTTATTTTTATAAAGAAGGAAAAAAATTGCTAGTGAAGTGTGCTTTTACAGTTCAACAAAAGAAAGTAATGAATAAAAAGTGTAAGCTAACTAGTACCTATCTTTGTTTAATTTATTCTTTTGTTCTTTTCTTGTTCTATTCATACTTTTGTTTTTATTTTGTTTTTCTTTTCTTTTTTACTATTTGCAAAAGCTTATTTCAATTGCATATAATAAAAATTCTCATTTTTGACCTTGCCTCAGACATTCATAATTTATTCTCCAATAATTATTTTGCGATCTGTTTATCACTAACCTCTGCAATCTCAAAAATTTTAACTTTCAATCCTTTTTCTAGTGCTAACCCGATTCAATTCCTATTGTTAACCTTTCCAATATACAATAACTTAAACCCTTGTCATTGGATTTTCTTTTTTTCATTTAATTTATTTTAAACATGCAATATTAATTTTCTTCTTTTTATCATGCCCACCAATGCTCTTTTATCTTTCCTTTCAGATTTCACAAATTTTGATATGGCAAACATAATTTCAGGTTTATACCTTGTCATATTTTGCTTACTTGTCACCAGAATTAGGTTGAGTAATTTTGGGAACATCACTTAAAAGTAACATCATTGCCCTTTATTCTAAGGCCGTTGACCTCAGGAAGTGATTAACTCTCATCCATAGGAGATAATTTATACCATTGAACTCGATCGTGTTATTGATGGTGGAGGGGAGTCATGAGAAATTCAAAGTAATCAGTGAAAAATTTGAACTATGCATAATCAACGAGTTGCTGTAATTTAATTTGCATAACTAAATATTCAGTTGTGTCAAACTTGAAAAAAGTCAAGAAAATTATCAAATCAATAATAAAACATGTAGAATAAATGAGGCAAGGAAAGAATTCACCAAAATGAGAAATTCAGGCCTCACACTGGTATAAGGAGATGGAGTCCCTAAATTTATGTAGTCGCACTTGTACCACATGTGAAGAAATCATATCTAACGTGTACATATAAGATTGAAATTAAATTAAAAAAAAAGACTTTTTGATTCTATCAAAGTTCTATTTTGTATGCTTTAAGTGTTCGTATTTCTATACATCCAACTCTATATGTTTGCAGACTATTTATCTACCGGAAGCATAACTTCCATTATGTTGGCATTTGCATGACAAGTCCCCTAACTACATATTATAAGCATAGTTTAAAATTTCCGTGCCAGGCATGTGCCATACTTTAATCACGCAAACAATTTCCATTGCGGTATGACTTATCTCATGAAATCATCCATCTGTCTGTGTAGTGAAATGTACCGTACACTCCCATTAGAGGATTTTAAAATTTCTTGAATGTATGTTTAGAATTTAGATGACGAGCTTTTGCTTCCGCGTGTGTTCAACATGTGTTTAATATTTCTAGATAAGGGAAAGAATGAACATGTGTTTAAGATTTCTAGATAAGGGAAAGAATGAACTTGAATTGCGGCTTTTGATGATTTATTTTGCTGCTTTTTGCTCTTAATACCTTAAAGCTCATAGAACTTGGATTGGGTCTTTTTATCACGTAGAGGGTGTTTTTGTACGCACTTTCTTTAGATTAATTTAACTGTCATTAGTAATTCATTTCATCAACAAAATGCCTTTGATATTAGAAGAATTGAAAAATGATGTTGTGAATCCTTTCATTAGAACAATGGACTGAAACTTTCTAGGGATGAAAATTTTCCATTTGCCATTCATCACGCTTTGAAGCTGTCCTTTACCCACATTGCAAGAATTTTTATAGATCCATGGAGTTTGGTGTAGGAGCTTATTCTCATCATAGACAAACTTTATTCTGTTACATTGTCTTTTTGATAGCTTGTTTATAAGCTAGCATGCTTATCACTTTATCCTTTGGTCATGTTACCGACTATGATCATCTTGTTCCTGGCTTGAAAATGGCTTGTGATCCTACTTTATCAGGCCTACTGAGCTTTTTGAAATTGTCCCTGTTCCATTCACCAGCTTGATGAGCCAACTAATTTGAGAAAGATCAATGGTTTTAAATGCTAAGTTTTTAAATACCTTCAAAAACTCTTACCCTGTTTGCTTCCCATTCCCTCTTGCTTTCCATCCTGGTACCCTGTTTTTCACATATTCTTCTCCTTCTCGGCTCCTCTTTTTTTCCTCTTAGGGTGCTCTCCTTCTCCTTGTTATTTGCAACGGCGTTGATGAGAGATTTGTGTAATTGATTAATCCTGGTTGGCTGGTTCTTCTACTCCCATCTGCTCTATTTTCTTCTTCCATATCCTCCTTAGTTTGCCTTCTCCAATATCTCAAAAAATTCTTGAGTTATGCACTTATAAGTCATCACAAGCTTGCTGGAGCTTGCAAGCTCTGACAATAAAAGTCAAACCATGATAGCGGGCTCGGCTAGTTTGCCCTCCACCTCCCATTTCAAGGTTTATCACCCTCGAATGTACATCCTTATGGTTGTTTCAATGGACATTGTTATTTTTTGGGTTCCGAGCTAAGTTCTCACTAGCTTAGGTCCGTGTGGTGTAATTTATAAACCATTGTTGTTCTTCTATGTACTAAAGATTTTTTGCTCAAATAAATTATTATCTTTAGTTGTACTGTCTGGCTTGATGAATAATTATTATTATATTAAAATCAATATGGTACAATTTTACAGGTATACAATGCAAAGAGCACGCCATGTTTAATGTTGTTTCTTGTATATTCTTTTTGTCTTTTGGGTTTTGGTACTTTCTGATGTCCTATCACAAATTTTCTTGTTGGTAATAGTCACTTTGT